CTGCGACTGAATTCTCCGCGGCGAAGAAGACGACAGAAGGGAGAGGCACGGAGCGAGGCAGCCTGCATGAAATGAATATGCACAGAGACGATTCCAACGGACACCGCTTACTGAGGGACAACGCGTAATAAAAGCATAACAGAACGCGAAGTGCGCTAGAGGCGAAGGAGGACTGCTGCGAGGGGGGACGCGAAGGGACTCGACCTGCATGTAAGAGCCACACTGGAGGCAAGAGATGCAGCCAGCGAGCAAGCTCCTCACTCTCGTTTTCCTCATCTTCGTGGGCACAGAACTAACCCAAGTAGGTCCTTCTTTATTTCACGTTATTTCCGAGGCCATATCATTGATGCTCCGGTGACAGGTTTAATTGGCTGTATATCCGATGTAAGATTATGTTGTTACCTCGACTAAAGAGCCCTCTTAACCAGATTACCAGGCGGGATTACATGATGGGAATACGTAGTGCTGAACGGGCGAGAAGAGACCCGCGCAGCCCCAGCGTGTGTTACCGCCGAGATAAAGACAATATACTGTCACTCCAAATATGTTCATCTGCCCTATATATTTTCAAAATGCCTCATACTTAAAGACATTTACTTTTTTATTTGGTACACTAACCATAATAAGTAGACTGGTAATGTCCAAGCAATAAAACATGTCCAAAACAATAATTGTACTAAATGCAAAATTGAACAGGACAATAAGGACTTCCTGTTACTAAAGCCTGAGTAGCAAAGACTGTTGCATTAAGCTGCTGGCTGTGTAAACCCCCACCACAAGCCCAGGGGAGCGAGGACTAGATGTATTTATTGCTATAGGGCCTGCTGCTGTATAGGCTTCAGAAGTTTGATGATTTAATTGACCTTGCTTGAGCAAACAGTCATATTTCTCTTGTTGCGCGGTGTTCCTTGTGAATCCAATAGTTGCTGGTAATTGGGAACTGAGAAAATCAAACGTGCCACCAAGGTTTCTATCAATCAATTAATGTGTGTTCTCGTTGCGTCCGGGCGCACACTGCAGACACATTGTACAATAGAAGTAAACAGTGCATGTCCCGTATGTGTGTTAGAGCATTACTTTGACAGAAATACAGTCAGCATTGATTTCCAATAATTTATGGCTGTGTATGTGTATAGAGCTTTCATTCAAGCAGCAACAAATTCACGTGGCATGCTCTCCAGTTCTTGTATGTCTCGGCAGCACTGTACTGCTGCAGCACTCATAATATGAACCGGACAGAGCCAAGTGCACAGAAATGCTGACACAATCCAACAATGAGGCTATTTGCCACTGATTGATGTGAGCCATCATTCAGAGTGCAGGGGGAAGGACTAGGACATGTTTGAGAGCTGCTATGGCCCTCGTATGACAGTCCGTTTGGGTGTCAGTGCGGGTCAGGGTCCTCCCATACATTGACATTGTGCACATCTGACAGCCTCTCAGTGTGTGTCATGGACTTGAAGGTAAGTCGATATTAGTCCTGAGCTTCCCTGTTCACTTCTATACAAGCAGATTGGAAAGGCTAAGCCTAGCATATTACTGTAGTGTTACGGACTCATTGTAAAAACTGAATGAGTGAGCTGTGTGTATGATGCAGTCCTTAATCTGATTTAATATGAGTTTAACAGCCATGTGCACCTCTCTTTCAATTTTTAATTTCTCAGTTTAGCCTCGCCTTTGTCTTGTTTTAGACCTGCTTTGATTCGCACCTACTCATAAGTAATCATGGTTTTGTGATAACATTGTAGGCATTCACCATGACTTACAATGATTTATAAAAGGCACTAACTAACAATAACTTTCATTTTTCTAGGGGAGGTTTCGCAATGTTGCTTTGTCTGAAAATGTCCACAGTATGGCCTTAAACTACAAGCAGGTGACACCACTAGGTCAAACTACAGGTCAGATCTGTTGAGAGACAAGCCTGCTCAGTGTAGGAATGCATGTTTTTTCAAGTTATCTTTGAGCAATAAGAACACATGAAATTGAATAATTGCAAGACAGACAGATTTTGGATAAAATTTGGAAGCTAACAGCTATTTAATCAGCTCTTGTCCTTATATTCAAGGTGATCCTAGCTCCTTGGCAGATATGTTTTTAGCATGCTTTTGATGTGATTATTCTCACAGTTTATTATTTTTATTCATTCAATTTTAACTTTGTGTATTGAGCCATATATCTTTGTTCATCCTAAACAAAAATGAATAAAAATAATCTAAGAATCAACATTATTGCACAGCTCCACTGCTATAAAGACTGCATAAATTCTGTAGCTCTCCTGTAGTTTGTAGCAGCATGAGGCCCACACATTATTTTATTTCACTTCTATAACATCTGGCTTCTACCCGCTGATTAGTAGCATGATAACCACTTTAATCACATTCATTCACCTCAGTTCACGTACAGGGAAGAATAGTAAGTAGCCTGAATGGCATCTGCTCCCTCCTAGTGCCTCCCCTATGGCTGAGGGCCTGTATCTTAGAGCAGCACCTCCCAGCTAACACCTGATCGGACAGATGGTATACTGCCATAGAAGCCCCTTTGACACCACAAACACAACCTACATACCATTGCTCATAATAATATAGCTTAGTTACCAATTAGTGTGGAGCACCTGGCCTACGCTAAGCACTGTGCACTAATCACACAAAATGCATAAACAACCAGGAAATCATTATTTAATGGCACCTCTGTAATTCTGGCTGTGTTAAAAATTCAAGGTTATAACAAAGGAACATTTGGAGTTTGTGAATGCACAGGAACAAGAAAATGGGGAGAATCAATCTGGTTTTATGGGAGAATGTGAGCTGGAGTAAGAGCTGAATTGCAATATGCGTGGTGTGATTGGCAGCCGGGCTTGGAGCTATTTATTATTCAGTATGGGCTGGTTGAGCAACGGAGCAACGAGAAAGAGAGCAGAAGAGAAGTAGGTGGTGGAGAGAGACGCTACAATTGTGTGCTGGCAGGAGGGAAATGTGATTTTATTACCACTACCATGAAGCCTTTGGTTGTAAACCTGCTTGTTGCACACATTATTATGTTGTGTGTGCCTTCTACTTGTTGCACTCTGAATGCCATGTTAAAACGTTACACTAGGAGCTGCCAGTACTCACTTTGTGCTCGTCCCAAGCTTGAATAATTCTGTTTTGCAAATCACTAAATGCTGAAAAAATTGAGAAAGTAATTATTTTTGATTATTGGTCTGTTACTGATCTCCTTTTCAAGGGGGTCCTTTTCATCCATTCTTTGCCTAAACAAGAAAATAGAAATACTGTATCTTACATTATAATAACATATTTTTTCCCCTCTTAAACAGTTGTTGGCAATAGTTCCATGTATTTGTTGTTACAACTGCAATGCTGTCAGAAAAATGCAATTAAAGAGGCAACCTTGACGGGGAGTAAACGTTTTTAGGGATTCCATTATTGTTTTAATTTATTATTATTATTATTAGTAGTAGTAGTAGTATTATTATTATTATTATTATTATTATTATTATTATGCATAGACAAAAGCGAAACAAAAATAAAATGGATAACATCAATTGTAATAATAATAATAATAATAATAATAATAATAATAATAGAACAATAATAACAGCATTATGTTGTAACTGTATCTTGTCAATCAAACAAATAAGAACAATTAGACAACTCTTACAAATATAAATGTTATGTAATGTTATGTAAATGACACATGAAACAATCTGATCATACAGTGGTCTAAAGAACTTTGATAGCTCCCTAGGAGGGTGCCCCCTTTGCTTGTTCCCTCATAACACGCATCCCCGTGAGCGCTCAGCAGAAGGTCGACACGTGGGAGTGACAGGCTGCACATATCTAAAGGCAGGGTGCTACACGCAGGCGCTCTCTTTACTTAACAGCCGCCACTTTACAGCGAAAGTGCATTATGGAGCAGACCGAAACAGCGGCAACCTCTCCTCTTAATGTGGGAGCTTTATTTTATTGTGTAGCCAACGTTAAAGGAAATATTACCCTGACCCAATATGGTTCTAGACAATTTAGCATAATATATCCTTTTCAAAAAGGATCCAACCTTAATTTTAACCTTCACGTTTTACAGTCATTGTATATGTCTTGATTGGGCTATGGAAAAGGTCATTTAAATCAGAGCATTTATTAAGACGTTGCGCATTGGCTCGTTTGTGGCTTTCACCATAGGGAACTAGGCCTATTTAGAAAATTCCACTTTTAAGCAACACCGCGTTTGGCTACATGATGGCGCCAGAGCCACGCGAATGAAAGCGCGCGGAAAACGCTTAAGGCATTTCTCTATTTCTCTATGAACGACTACTGCAACTTCTATAATTAGAACATTGTGTAATATTACAATGCAGGTTTGTAGCAGGGATAAAATGGGCTCTGAGGGATTGTTGACTTTTGCGCTACTGATTCATAAAGTCACGTAGAGGAAAAGCCACTTTGTCTGGGACATTTATCGCGGGATGGGGTGTAGGGGTCATTGGAACATATCCAGGAACTACAAAGCTGACATCACTGACTGTAGCAAAATAGATAGATGGACAGGGATGCAGAAAACGACTTTCTGGCACCTCCTCTTCTCTGCTCTCATCCACTCGGAGCAGCCGGAGCGCGCTCAGTCAGTGGCACTTAATGAGAACGCGCTCTGAGGCAGGAGGCGGACCAACGAGCGTCGGGCGTGAACAAAATAGTAACTGAGAGCAGAGGAGGAGACAGTGCGCGGGACAAGCAGGCAGAGAAAGGAGATACAAGCGCCAAGTGTGCAGCTCTTACCCACTTGGATCACCTTATTGTATTGCTTCATTTTGGTCGCACTAGTGACTCCACGAGGTGGAAATGTCCAAAAAGAAGGCATCGGACCCGGACCCCCGGGTGAAACATCATGGTGCTACGGGCAACCTGACTCGCATCCGACTGGCGCTTACCGTGAGGGAGTGTGCAGAATGAAAACGGCCTAAAACAAGAAAAGCTGGGTAAAAGTCCGAGCAGAGTGCCAACATGACGGTGCCGCTGCTAAAAATTGGCGTCGTGCTCAGCACCATGGCGATGATCACCAACTGGATGTCGCAGACCCTCCCCTCGCTGGTGGGGCTCAACACTACCAAGCTGACGGCGGCGCAGGGGGGATATCCAGACCGGAGCACGGGTGTAAGTGCATCACACGAGGAGGGGACAGGTGGAATAGCCCTAGAGAATGCCATTTTTCAGAGGATAATCTTGGAACAAAAATTGGGCATCAAATTTCTATCACGCTGCTACAGTTGGCAAAATGGAAAAATCAGTTTTAAAGTTGTTTGAAATCTCGTGGGCTAATAGTCTACTAAGGTTTAATCATTTAAGGAATTGTAGTGTAAAATGTGTAGGTTCTGCGGCCAAGTACCCTCCCCTTTACCTTTCTGTGAATGAGAGGCGTTCAAAGCTACGCTGCTTTTGAGAGGATCGTGTGAAGCGCCCCTTTGTTTCACTGCTGCTGTACGGGATGAGCCGTACGCGCTCGGTCAGCACACAGACAATCTCTGTATCTGCCACCAGTCATGATGTTTTTACTACAACATAGAGAAAGGTCGACAATGTTTTGTCACCCTTTTTACAGGAGTGTGTGCGTGATCGCTTCTTTTAGATTTGCTCTGAGCTTGTCACTAATTGAATCGTTCAGCAGTGTCTTCACTGACTCTTCCTTATCGCTGAAGTACAATAGTCTCCCGTAGAATCAGCACAGCCGCTATCTTTCTGCAGCCGTCAGTCATTCTCCACTTCTTCTCATCGAGTTAGGACCTGGACTGATATACTGCAGGAGAAAAACTCGCATTGACGCCACCTACGGCACACTTTCCGCTGTGCCCCCCACAGCCACCTATTATATATGTATAACTCTGCACTGGTTGCTATTTGCCTCGGTTGGTTGTAAAATATCCAGACTGATGGTGCAGGAGGGTGGAGCCTGGTAGCTGGTGGCGTCCAGATGGTGATGAATGCAGCACCAGCTTTGGAATTAAGCTGGCACTGTGCACTTTATGTGCAAATAAATCAAGCGCGTGTCCTTGGCAGTGTCTCATTGACCTAAAATATCTATTGGGTAATGCTTTGGCTGTTGGTTATTGTTATAAAGGTGTGTATTTAAATGTTGTCTGTGTCATTTGTCCTACACTTTTGCTTCACTCTTGTAGGAGCAGCATTCATCCTTTTTATCCTCTGTTTCTCTTGTAGGTCTTGCCAGCCAACCCAGAGGAATCATGGCAGGTGTACAGTTCAGCCCAGGATAGCGAGGGAAGGTGTGTCTGCACCGTGGTGGCACCCCAGCAGTCCATGTGTTCTCGGGACGCCCGCACCAAACAACTGAGGCAGCTTTTAGAGAAGGTAATTACAGTTTAACTCCACACAGCTCATATCCTGAGCATCAAAGTCATACACTGTATCCACCTCTCCGTCTGTCTGCTCACACATTTATACTCTGTGGTCCCAGCATCACCTCTCTGCCCGCTGGACAAGAATAGGAATCATGCTCTAATGAGCTCCCTGGAAACCTAAGAGGCATCATGGGAGTCAGACTAACACTCATGTACAGTACACATCCAAGGCACACGTCTAATGATGTAACCCCACTCAATCCCCTCTGTGTGAGCTCAGCCCAGCCCTGATTAGAAGAAAACACAGCTGGGATATCAAGTTCTGTGAACAATAGAACAATATTTATGTATGGTGATGATTTAGCTATGCTATAGATGAGCCTGAATCATGGCTAATGCCTCACAGTCGTGAGAAACCAAATGTCTTAACAGTATGTGTGCTACACTTGCACCATGTGTCTGAGGCCCCTGACTAGTTGGCTTCAGTTCAGTTTATGTGACTCACTGCATGAAGCCAAAACAACATATTGAAAATCTGTTGCATTTTCATTGCAACTTCTTTTCGATGCAATGCCAAGTTATAATAAATAATAAAAATAAATAATAATACAATAATAATACTACAAACATTTTCCATCATTATGGATTTTAACCAGTTATGCTTCCTGTACAACTAATCAGGTGCAGAACATGACACAGTCCATCCAGGTGTTGGACCAGCGAACTCAGAGAGACCTGCAGTACGTGGAGAAGATGGAGGTGCAGCTCCGGGGGCTGGAGACCAAGTTCAGACAGGTGGAAGAGAACCACAAGCAGAACATTGCCAAGCAATACAAGGTACGGGTCCCCGCCTCACCATTCTGTGTCTTTGTCTGTAAAACACCCATAGTGCAAGACAAGAAGCCTCATTACAAACTAAAGTCACTGTAACCATGCCTCTGTAGGAAATTACCTCAATAATTATAGTTATAGTTGACTTTTCAGTTTAATACTTATAAACCATTACATAACAAAATGTGCATAATGGTGCTATAGAAACCAAATGCTATTGAGAAACAATCTTGTCTTGTCTACTCAGTGTCACTTATTTTAGCTAACATATTTCTGTGATAGGAAAGTAGTCTTAACAAACTTGTGTATCTATGTTCATCATCATCCATGTGCCATATTGCATGCGAGCCCAGACTATCATCCTCCAACTTTCTTCTCCTTAGCATGTAACACACTGTCAACACCTTTCTGTCAGATTATACAATATGTGTGTGTGTGCGTTGTCTTTTAGATAGGATAGTAAGCTCCAGCCCCTGTCAACAGTCTGTCGTTTTCTTGCTTGCAGGGCTAACTTTAAGAAATGTAAAGAGAGAGAGCCACAGGAAAGAAGAGGCAGGTCTATTCCAGATTCCCCTGAACTGGGCCACAGTACTGAGAGCATTTTGGGGCGACAAACAGATTTTAATTTTACCTTAAGCACCATTCAGAACCAGGAAAAACCCTTACCCTTTGTCCTAAACCCACCTACCACTGATCTTTTCCTGCATGATACTGCTAATCAAAGTTTTCCATTCAAGCTATTTTTAAAACGTAACAAATTATTATTATTATTATTATTATTATTATTATTATTATTATTATTATTACTATTATTACAATTGATGTTATCCATTTTATTTTTGTTTCGCTTTTGTCTATGCATATTTGGTTTCTCCACAATATAAAAGTCTTTAGACGTACAATTTGAGAACACTTTGTTGTCTGTGACATGTTAAAGCATGTATCCCTTACTACAATGTTGCATTTTAAACAATGATGACCAATAAAGAGCTTTCCCAATTGTTGTTGGTGTACCGAGGTGCTTGCTTCTTAAAATCGACTGGTCACTTGCCAGGATGGAGCCAACCTCTGCTTGTCCAGCCGCTGTGGTTTGTTTTTATGCTCATACACCTGCACAGTACATGGCACAAGAGACAACAGCATACATTACTTATATGGGCTTACAGGTGCAGAGCTAGGGAAAAGATAGAGTAGCCAGGCTAAGACAGGTATTTTTATTTTTTATTTTTTCTTTTGCACATGACACTCAACCGGGCTTATTCTAATCCTTTCAGGCCATAAAAGCGAAAATGGAGGAGCTTAGACCGTTGATACCAGTGTTGGAGGAGTACAAAGCCGATGCCAAATTGGTATTGCAGTTTAAGGAGGAGGTCCAGAACTTGACGTCAGTGCTAAGTGAACTTCAGCAAGAGATGGGGGCCTATGACTACGAGGAGCTGCACAACAGAGTGTCAAATCTTGAGGGGAGACTCCGTGCATGCATGGAAAAATTAGGTAGGCGCAAGAAAGTCTATACACTTTTCTCAACACGCCACCGACATTCAATATGTTGTGAGAGGGAAAAATGTCAGGCATCACAAGGACACATACACTTTTAAATAACATGTTATTTACACTTACATCATGGGGGAGAAAATGTACTTGAGGAATGCCCAAAGACTAATGTTCCATTATTTATGGATAAACAGCAATTTGGAGATTTATGTTTTGCAAACCTATGTTGTATTGCAAATTAAGGGTATGATTTTATGATAAATACACCTTAATGCGCATTAATGTGTATTAATAAAGCATGAACAGACTTAGCGAATAATGAACAAATTGTCTATTGAGCTATTAAGAATGATACAGGCTTAATAACTATTTAATTAGGGGCTTAGGGTTAAGAGTTAGGGTATTGATTGAGTAGTTACTGAGCCTGAACCAAAGCATTTGTTCATTATGATATGAGTTTAGGTTCATGAATATACAGTGGTTATAGTATAAGTATTACCAAGTACTATCACAGCAAAATGCCATGATTGATTATTGAATTATGTAGTGCCTCATAATGTTGCATACACTGGTGGAAGGTTCACTCCAGTATATGTTTGCATCAGTTGATAAAGCTAGATGAAATTATATACACAAATCACTAGAGGATACAGAGGATCTTGTGATCATGCCAAATGAGAGACCCCAATGAAAATAAGGGAAATAACATGATGGGCTAACAGAAAACATTTGATTAGGTTGTTGTCCTTATGATGTAGGTTCCTATCTTGCTCAACTCTTGCTTTTAGCCCCTGTGTTCTGTCTTCACACCTCTGTCACAGCCCACAGTGCTAATAGATGCACACCCACAGAAACACACTCACACTTTGTACTTGCATATCACGGGTATATTGTGTCCCAGTTTCAAATTCTTTGTGGAACACACAAAAAGAATCAAATTATGGAAAATAATTTCACAGTCTCTTCAAACATTGGCAAAGACAATGCAGAGAAAGAAGTACTACAGTTGTGTGATTCAGTACACAAAATTTTGCTGAAAAATTTCTGGACTTCACTGCAATATAGTGGCTCAAGCCACTACCAACCAAAATCTCTAACCTAAACCCATAACATAGTAGTTTCAGGTCAAAAATAAATTACTTATCTTAACTTTGGCTGTTCAGATGTCTATTATTTTGAAATATGTTTGTTGTTGTGAATGTCACTTCGAGGACAGGTGATATTCCTGTTACTACCACTACATTTGGTGCATTACCACAACTACTGTAGGAATACTTCTATGATTGCTCACCTCCCCACCAGGGTCAAACCAGTGAAGACATTTACAACAGTCTTGTTAATACCTACAAATGTAAAGTTAGTTCCCCCTTTTGAGACTTTGTTTGAGTAATCTTTTCAGCACAGTTATTAATAGACAGGCTAAGGCTTGTGTCAAAAACCATCAGATCACTAGTGACAGGATCTCCTGGTTTTCCTCCTCTCAGTGTGCATATTTGAGAAAGTGAGAGAAACAAAATGGAGGTGAGGTCACACAGAGTGACTGCCTCAGAAAACACAACACAGGGTAGCTCCTACTTTCATCTTGATGCAGTTCCAATGCGCCCACGCTAGTCTTCCCCCATACTAGTAAGATTAAACAGGTTGAGGTCACTTGCCAAATCTGCTCGGTCAGGGCAACAACAAGAAAAATGAGAGAGTGATCCAGACAGAGGGGTCATTCTGAAAGTGATAGAGCAGGGTGACGGGGGGAACAAGAGTGTGATAGAGTGGAGGGTTACAGAGCAAGAGTATCTAGGGCCCTTCAAGACCCTTCAAGCTGTTTATGCTGTAAAGACTAACCACCAGACAGACAGGGCACAGTTAGCCATCCACCAGGAGAACATCCCACCTAGCATAGCAAGAATCAAATGAAAATATTAAATGAATGAATGACTTAAATTAATGAATGCCATTAGTGCAAACAAATCTAAGACTTTATCAGCATAGCCATACAGCTGGCATGTGGGGCAGAAACACAAAACAAATTATTGTATTAATAAAATTGTATTTATTTTTTTAAACATACAGAAATGTCAAGCATTTGGTGTATTTTATGATATCATCTGATATAATTCCACTTTAATGTTTGATAAATTCATTGGAAGAGGTTACAGCATGATGGTTTAAATCTAGCTTTAGGGCATGCTGAAACTACAGTATAATTTACTGGCATACACTTGTCTCAGCCTATCTGTTAATATTTAAGATGACAGAAGGAGATAATATATTAACAAATATATAAACAAAAAGTTAATGGCATTAAACAGAGTAAAAGCAACCTGTTTAAACTTCTTGAACCAGCAATTTTCTGAAAGATTCGTTCAGGGAACAGTACTTTTTCACAGTGCTTACTTTTAGTTTTATGACCTTACATTTATCTTGATCATATAAGTCAAACAACTATTGAAAAAGCATTAGAGTTTAAAGTCCAGACTAATGCTATTTGCTCGTGTCAGCTCGACTCCCATTAGCTTTTCCCTTTCAGACTCCTGTTCTCTGTGTATCCAGTGAAAAGCAGGCCAAACAGGGATTAGATCATGTGTGTATCTCCAGACAGACGATCCATCAGAGGCTTCCCTGCAAACAGCCGCTGCCCTCTAAAGACACAGGCGTGATTAGGAAAAAGAAAAAAATAAATCAATGGCCATTGTATTAGTGCTATGGCTAATCCCACAGAGAGCTTACATAAGAGACCAGGTCCAGGAATAGCAGGGGTCATGTGGGTTTGTGAGTTTTGAAGACCATAAAACATAATATACAATTATAAGAACTGAGGAAAATTAAGCAATCCCACAGTTCAGCCTATTTCAGCACCATGGACAGTGGCCAGTTACTTAAGGGTTCACACTGAGCCAGCATCATCAAATCAAATGATGAAGCTGTATTTTGGAGGGGTTCAATATTTATTGCTTGTACTTCCTTTAGTCCTTCTACTAGTGGAGAACTACATGCATGAAGATTGAGGAAAATGAAACAATACTAATTGTAGCCTATTTCAGCACTATTGGCAGAGCTAGGTTACTTTTCACACTAGGCCAATTTATCGTTATTCAGACTAGTCTGAATAACGATAACATTTGAGTTGTAGAGGTTCAAATTAGTAACCTCTATGACACAAATTTACTTAATAAGTGTTTCATTCTGTCCTGAAAAATTTAAACATTATTTTTATAAAACTTTATTAGGATTCTCATGCTTTAGGATTTTAGTGTCAGCCTAATGAAGTAGTTTCAATATTGTTCAATATTGTTTTAAGTGATATTTTCTATTCCAACATAGCACAAATTGGTCATTGTGAAAGAACAAGTTCACAAACAATAGCTACTGATTCTTGCGTTCGCTGTAAAGACTCATTTACAGACATGTCTAGAACATGTCTTACAAAGAAATTAGTTGCCATTTTTACAGAGAAAACAACGTACAAGGTCTGCTGTGTCACAAGCAACAATGTCAGATCTATGATATTTCTAAAGGGCATAGATACAGCTAAGAAGACAGGTGTAAAGATGCATTTTAGCACGGGTTAATGGATGAGACGCTTGACAAAAAGGATTGCTAATGAAAACACAAAATGAGCCATAGCCAGCCCCACTTGTGAGATTAGCATATCAGAACGACTCATTAGATTCACAGAGCAATATTAAGTCATCAGGACACTCTAATTGACCTTTATGGTGCTGCTCCCGGTCTCTGACAAAAATGTGTCTAACAAATCTCCATTTAAAACTTCTGATTCAATTTTTGTCAGGCTTTATTATCAAGAATAGACCAGAACTGCATCACAAGGGAGCAGCAACCAAGTACTAGTTTTGTCAAATTCCTATTAACACCTCAATCAACACTCATTAACACTGCAGCAGCAGCATCAGCAGCAGCAGACGCACAGAGGCGGTCTCTTCTCTGCTCCTTCACGCTCCCACCTTGTCACACTGAGGAGTAAAACAGTCATTAGCATGTGTGAACTGAATAATAAGCACCTCATGTCTGTGGATGCAAGCGAGACGGACATTTACACTGCCATGTCCTTCAGGACTATTTATTCTCCGTCAACAGCTGAATCATTCTCTGTATTGGTCTAAAGCAATGGCTTTCAGATTGGGAATGTGAATAGCAAGTCTTTATGTGGTTTAAGTTGTGTTCATGGGATGACATAATGGTCTACAATGTCCCTGGTATAAAATTGCAGGAGTGCAGGTAATCTGTGGTAGAAATTGCTGTTTAACTGATTTGTTGAGCTGGTTTATGGTCAGTATCGGGCCTGTCCACATGAAACAAAACACGTGCAAAGTTCAACAAAAGTGTTTTTTGGGGTTTTTTTTGTTCATAATTGGTTTATAAAGTGGTGGTATTCAAGCACAAAGATATGACTGTTGTCAGCTGAAAGGCATTCACACAAAAAGGATATTTCTTTCAAAACAAGTAAAACTCCCATAGAGTTAAATCCATGGGCTTCATAGTGATTGAAATATGGCACAGTTAGCATAGCAATTAACAATATAAAATATCACTTACAAACAGGCCCCTGCCCTCCATCTGAAACTGTGATAACATCAAATTCTAGAACGTGAATGCAACCTAATCTAGTTTTGGTTTAATTATTTAAAATGTGAACAGTTACACAGATGGTTTTATACAGATGGCCAACTTAAAAACTTCTGTATGGATTTAGTTGCCTAAGTCCTTTTTTAGATCTTGCTTAGACCTGGTTTAGACCCAATATATCTAATGTCATAAAGGGCACTGTACTGGAGGCTTTCTTGTCACTACTTCTTTTGCAGCATGTGGCAAACTGACGGGCATCAGCGAGCCCATCACAATCAAGACATCTGGCTCCAGGTTTGGCTCCTGGATGACAGATCCTCTGGCTCCTGAGGGAGACACACGGGTATGTAAATAGTGTTTTACTCTGACACTCCAGCGACTGGGCAGCACATTTAAATAATCAAGGAATAAACACCAACCAAATGAACTCTACAAGAAAAAAATATATTAAAAAAAACCTTTGAGACACATAAATAGACCTTCAGTTCTTCCTCCGGCAGTATTCCCTTTTCAAGCTACTACTTTATTCTATCTGGATATCTACTTAACACTATTACAAGGACCCTTCCAGTTAACAGCTGGAGACAACCTTGATCATAGGTTAAGGTCAGCTCTGACTGTGAAATGTAATAGTCTCTGGCCTTTTATCCTCATCATCTGATTTCCCTAAGCAGACTGGGCCCAAAGTAATAGGTAATGGGCTCTGCTTCTGTCAGTCAGATGAGATTCTAAATACTGTAACTGTACTGTATTTTAGAGGGAAGAAAGCACAGGAGGATTTATGCTGCAATAGAAACAGTTGAATGCATAAATGTAATGGAGAAGTAATGAAGCAGCAAGACATTTATAATGGCACACCATAGTTGTGGTGATGCAGCATAGTTTGGAAGCTAATTGTCAACTGTCAAGACAAGTGCAGTCTGTGAACGTTTGAAATATTCAATAAAGCAAAGGTGAAGTGCTGACTAAGAATAGATTTAGCATATTGTAAGGGCAACCTTCTTTGTAAAAAGCAACCTATTTTAAAACTGTGGATAAAAGAAGTGCTGAATTATCAAAGAGGCGCAGTGAATGTAACTGACAGGGGCAGAAGGCCTGCTCCACGGCTTTTCATCTGCGGGCTTCCTCTGCTTAGTTCTTTGCAGAGTCCACAGAGAGCTCCATGTTGATGTGAAGGATTCCACACAAAGGCAGGTGCAGCCTTCAGGTGTCAGAGTCTCACTGCACCAGAGCAGCATTTGAGCCCTCGGAGGAGGGGGGAAGAGGGCTGGTGTGCCCACCTCCGCAGGGGCTGGAGGAAGTCGGGTCCAGGCAGCTGAGACAGGCTTTTATGTGGAATGATGGGCATTATCCCCGCGGGGCAGAGCTCGCCCCATCCCGTGGCTGTCATGCTGACTGTTTGTATTCAGAGGCTGCAGGACCACAGCTTCCTAGATCAAGTCTTGGCTCAAACCTAATTGGAATGCTTGCTGAGAGAATGATTTGATTTATTCTGTTTGTGATCTGCATGTAAGATGCACAGATTTTCAAAGGCCTACATTGGGATGACTACTGCAATTCTTTCCTAGCTCGATACTAGAGTAGCACTACATGCACCCACAAAAACCACAAGGTTGATCCGAGCAACAGGCAAAGCAAAGTGCTGCTGTGGTTTTCAGCATTTTTAGTGTGACTGTGGTGGTCGAAGGGAATGAATAAGGTTAATTTTTTAAAATCTGTAAACTACATTAGACTAAAGTATAATTTTAGCAGTAAACAATCCAGTTTCTAATTATTATTTTCTATTGTTATTTAGGTGTGGTACATGGACGGTTACCATAACAACCGCTTTGTGCGAGAGTACAAGTCGATGCATGACTTCATGACGTCGGACAACTACACATCCCATCGTCTGCCTCACCCCTGGTCTGGGACTGGTCAGGTGGTCTACAATGGCTCCATCTACTTCAACAAGTTCCAGAGCCACTTCATCATCAAGTTTGACCTACGCACCTCTTCCATCAGCAAGTCCCGGCAGCTGGATCAAGCCGGATACAACAACGCATATCACTACGCCTGGGGGGGCCACTCAGACATAGACCTCATGGTTGACGAGGGCGGGCTCTGGGCTGTCTATGCCACCAACCAGAATGCAGGAAACATTGTGATAAGTAAGCTGAACCCCAACACATTGCAGATCATCAAAACGTGGACCACGAACCACCCCAAACGGAGTGCCGGAGAGTCTTTTATGATCTGTGGAACACTTTACGTCACAAATGGCTACTCAGGAGGAACAAAGGTGTACTACGCCTACTCCACCAACTCCTCCACTTACGAATATATTGACATTGCATTCCAGAATAAGTACTCACATATATCCATGCTGGACTACAACCCTCGGGATCGAGCCCTCTATGCCTGGAACAATGGCCACCAGGTGCTCTATAATGTTACTCTGTTCCACGTGATTCGCTCAGAAGAACTGTAACCTCAAAACAAACTGCCCACAAACAAGAAGTACATGCTGTCTATGGAGATCTAATATATCGAAAATTATATCAAAACAAAAATACTATTGGCAGATTTTATATATGGAAAAAAAAAAAACTCAGAGATTGCAACGTGAATGCAAAGTAGATTGAATGTGCATATACAAAAGAGCCAAAGGGTTTCATTCCAAAATACAGGAGTTGTATATTTATGATAAGAAATGTATGAAATCAGAAAACACTCATGATTGTCAAACACTTGTAAATAAAACTATTATAAAGTTTACTGTAATTCATAGTTTACATTTTCTAATAGCTGCCATCTTTTTTGTGAAGATTTTTTTTTGTATTATTATTTTGGAATGAAACTCTTTTTACTGTTTGCAACATAGAATATGATTGTAAAAGTAGACAAATATATGTATAAAGATTTAAAAACACATGCCAAAAAGATCAATCAAGCATATATATAATAAAAAATCATGCCTTTTTTATACACTGGAATATCAACCTCCATGCAGCTGCAGTCTCGCCAGATCACCTCCCAGTTGGACATTTGGTCATTGGGGAACTAGTATACAAGAACTGTTGTTATGAACTGTTTGTTCCCTATGGCTTATGGACATATAGACAAATGGGAGATTAGTCTGGTCTGAGGACTGTCAAGCCCAAATGGAATAAGTCTGTCATATAATTTTTTTAATCAAAAACTGTAGCAAATACTAAAGTCTGTAGAGAACACAGCAACAATAAGAACATACGCTAAAGACCTGAAGGCACTGACTGTTGCGTTGCTGTTTCCCAAGAATTTCCTGTGTTAGTGACATATGTGTGAACAAGGCTTTCTTTGCATGAGTGTTTTCTATCACTCCAGTCTGCTCTTGAATGTCTTTTGATGTACAATATTAGAACAACTAACAAGGGGACTCTATTGGGTTAGAAAGAAAAAAACAGGAGCATGTCAGTAAATTACAATATTGCAAATGTGCTGTTCCATCCTGATTATTACACATTATTAATACATTAATAGTTGACAGTTGTGAAAACCCAAACTATTACTTTGTTTGACGGCCAACAAACCTCAGCTCAACACAATGTTTGGATCGCAGCTCTGTTTATAAACACAAGATAATATATAGTACTGTATGTGTTTTGAATTCAGTTAAACCTCTTAAATTCAAAGAGATTTATGTGATATTTTAATGAACTGACATGCTCTGATTTATTTCAGGCTTATGGGTTGGATAAATACTTTTATATTTGAATTATTTTTTGTCTTTTTTATTGTTTGTGCATCACTGTAACATGTTGGCACCAGTTTGCCTCTGTATTTGTTAGTCTGTACTGAGTGGGAGGAATCTAGATACAATTTTTTGAGAACAATGCCACAGAATGTACAAAGTAATCTGCCCTCCAAAATCAAATTGTTCTGCATTCCTTTCACCTCAAACACGTATATGAAGGGTTATAGTTTGTTTTAGTCGATTAGCCCATCATGTCTCCACTCACTGCTAGTGAAGGATGTTGTTATATGTATACCCTTGCAGAGATCAAATGCTTTTCACTCTTTTTGCGCTTTGCTGGACATGTGTTGTATCTGAGATGAGATAGTTAATGATTCGTGTCAATAAAAACAAAACAAACCTAATTTTGGAAGTGGTGCCAGGAGTTCTGTGAACACTTAATACTGATTATTTTCTGCCTTTCTAAAAATTATCAGAGGATTTAATAAGGATTTAAGAAGTGCTCAGAAAAGAAAAATGGGATGATTGTGTGAACTTGGGCAGAACAGATGGTCGGAGGGATTGGGCATATTTTTATCATATTTTGCAATGGTATATGAGTTTCTTTTTTTTTTTTTTTTTTTTTTGATCTTCCCAGTGACCTCCTTCAACCTCCAGGCAATTGTGGATTGTGCAAGCTAACCTCACACCATAACATACCAGTAAACCTTTGTGCTGTCAGCTCTGTAAGGAAGTAACTAAACAGTGGGAAATTGAATCCATCCGCACCATGTAGCTCACAATCACAGTTATACTGTTTCTTTGAAAGATTGTTTTTCAAAGCCAAACACTTTGTAGTGTTGAACAAAAGGGAAAGAAAGAAATATTGATTTGTTGATAGCTCCACTATTAGGTCAGAATCACCAAACTCAGCAGGAACCTCTGCATGGGGTCAACAGTTCAGATAACATTACATAATATTTTCAGTTTAACAAGCAATACAAATATTTTATCTCCAGTTCACAGGAGATGACAGATCCCTCCGGCTCTCATTACTTGGGAATTAATATAATATGTAAAAACTCTGTAATAAGTGATTCCCTGAGTTTTTTTCCCCATTTTCCTGTCCACTACTACTGTCCACTCCTCCACACATGATCTTTCTTTCTTTTCATCCCCCTCTTACAGTGCTCTATCTTTTCCCACTCTTTGTTGCTCCCACCAGCTCACAGGCTCTTAGTCCTCTGATGTTTCAATCGATGAATAAATGATTGCTTCTATTTTCACTCTCCCAGCACTTGGCCAACACATGCTGCGTTGCTCCCCCAGAAATAGTTTGCCAGCGTAGGATTTGGGAAAGACAGACTGACTGACAGAACAAAACAGGGTAAAAAAAACAAAAAAAAAACAGGTTTGGTGGAAAGCTCTTGCTGTGTATGCTACAATGAGCTGTCAGTCAGAACGGAAGATATTTGCATTTTATTTTAGATTGGCGTATCAGGGGAACACGGCTGATTCTCTGTACACAACCTCAACATGTTTATTTCATCCTGACAGTTACATGGCATTTCATCACTGTTCAAGTTGCCTCATTTATACATGTGCGCATGTAGTTCAAGGGCCACGTATAGCAAATTATCATGTGCATGTAATTGACCTCTAAATGTTACCAGCACATATAGCAGCACTTGTGGGAATAGCGGACAGACACAGTAAGAGGGCTGACCTTGCCTACCAGCTGTAAGGGGCATCTTTCCCCCAAGGACAAAAGTACTTACCAGTAATAGAGCTCCAGCGAGGGCCAAAAGCGTGGGAGACATGATTTATGGGGCAAAATCTTTATGATACTGTGAAAAGAGAAAGTACAGATTTATTGTTTAAATTAATTTGTGTGAAAAAATGTGAATGGGCCTCTCGAGAGCTCATATCTGAAAATTACCTCTGCAATGGAGTTTGGTTAATAGCTATTTTTATGACATTTTCCACAAAGGTCAGTAATCGGTCAAAGTTAGTTGTTGTGAATTCGAACAGAAAGTTTTAAGATGTTTTTTTGCAGTTAACTATGCCTATGTTGTTGCTTCTGCACAAGGACAATAGTATTTCTACCTCCCAAAGGGTGTCAAAAGGGCTTGGAAATACCCTTAAATCATCCTTACTCATTCAGCTAAGGTGAGTTAAGAAAGACCAAGTGTAGAGTGGGGACAGTAAAGTGCTAACAGTTTTGCCATTGTGATGAGATCTAAAAATGTAAAACATAGTCTAAAAAGTCAAAAGTCATGTTACTTAAACTGCATGTAGTACACACAATAGGTAACGTTGAACTAATGGCATCTTAATAGGGTTATTAATGAAAGTCCATTCAGTCAAAAGTATTTAGCTTAAGACGAAATACTTTTGTGCTGTAAATTAAAGGTACACCGCTCAACCTTTCTGGTAGAGGGTCTGCTACCTACATATCTCCATGGAGATGTTATTGCTTGACCTGAAATGTTCCATGGTATGAAATCAAACATATATACATCAACCATGTACTCACTGCAGAAGATTCTGTTGTGTAAAAATACAATAACTCCCACTGTGAATAGGAGCGACTCTCCACAGATCTCAATTGTAATGTAGTGTAGTAATGTAACCTGCTTGTCTCCTCTGATAAGTAGGTTTAATCTATATTGTGGAACATTCTAGACGACGTAATAATGTTTCTATGGAGACAAGCAGGTAGCAGACCCTCCAAATGTTGTGCTACTGCTACTATGCTACTACTACCACTGCACAATTATTGAGCTACAAATACAAAGTGACATTTTCAGTATCAAGTTACTAAGGTTGAGGTAGGAATGTCAGGTTTAACTGTTAAACATTACAAATTTTTTTCACACTGGTTTGAAGACAGTGGCTGAGCTCCTGTTCAGTCAGTTTCACAGGTGTCTGGAGTATCATTTTAACATTTGGCCGCTGGTGATTCTGCTAATACTCTAACTTTACGCTAATGTGGATCTGCATTCTGTTAGTGTGCCCATTATTTGGGTCTGGTGTTAGTATGCAGGTCTCAGTGGAGTAGAGAATAAATGGTTGCTCATTTTCACCCAGTCAGATTAGGAGCTCCTTTGTTGCATTTAAAAAACAATCTATTACAAGTCCCCCATCTCAACATTTACTATTGGTGGTAGCTATCTTTTTTGTATTCAGTTACTAATACTAAACTCTTTTAAACTTTGTTTTTACTTTACTCATGCTGTTTTTTTTTTGTTTGTTTTTTGTTTTTTTAGTTTCTAATTCCATCCATTTCTATTCGATGCAGCCATCTCCATCTCATGATCACACAACCTACAAATCAGTTGCTTTATCTTATTTAGCATTCATCACTGTTATAGGGACCAAAGCAGAAATAAACTGAAGGTCTTATGCTCCCATCGCTGAACGCAGCCTCACAGATAAAACTATTACAAGCCTGGGGTGCGCTAGAATAACAGCCAATAATAAATCAATAGCACTATAAGAGATAGGGCTCAGAGAGAAAAACAACAGTGATGAAATGCAATTGATTTAATTACAGTCCAATAAAACTGCAAAGTTAGAATAAGTCAGTTGTCCTTTTAGCGATTGTCTGTGCAGTGTTTTCATTAGGGCTGTGTCCTTGTCAGCAGTTCACACACCTGCACTGCTCTAACAAAATGTCTCCTTCATTAGCATTTCCTTGAATGCACACACAGGGTTACACACACTGACATTCCCACATGTATACATACAGCAGTCACTAGGTTTTATAGTTCTGAACAAGCATTAAA